ATTCCTGCACTCAAATCTTGCTAACAATAGAAACCATTATTACCTTGCACTGTTACACTACATCCTGCACAAGGTCATTCTGGTTTTCTTCCTTAGTATCTTTGCTCCCAAAGGGAAAATGCATTAATGGCAAGAAGAAAACAGCTGCCTGCAAGCAGCCACAAGAACAAGAAAACGGTGTGTTAATTATCAGCACTGAAAATGCCAGTCCGAACAGCATTAAAAACAGAAAAGCAAATTTGGATTAAAATAATAAATAATAATAATGGCTTTCAATCTCTAGTATCAGGGATCTCCAAACTGCTACTTCAGCCATTATGATTACTGTCATGGCAAAAGAAAAAGACTTAAATAAAGCTTGTTGATTTGTTTGTCAGCTGCTCAGAAGACATCAAATAGTTCATAGTGATGATGGGTCAAAAAAATATTGCACCGAATTACACTGAGAAAAAGACAAAGAACATATTCTTAATGTTAACCAAGACATACTTTACATGCTAGAACAAAAGCAATACAGAAGCTCTTTATGTTACCTTTTGTTGCCATCATTACAACACAACACTCCCCAAAGCTTTTTTTTTTTTTTTTTTAGGGGCTAGAAGGGGCTGTATGACTGAATGAACTGAAAGTAAAACAAAGAATTGCACAATGTTCCCTAAACTGTGATTATGCCAATTTAGTGAAGCTATCTTCCTTCTTGAAATAGTGTATTTTTCCTCAACCACAGAGCATATTATGACTACAACAGCAGTCAGCCCTTTAAGCAATGCTAAGATACTCTTTTAAACAAACCAACCAATCAACCCCCCCAAAAAAACAAAACCAAAACTTAACAGTTAAGCATTTAGAAAGGCTTGAATAAAACTTATGATTTCCTATTATATTGCCTTCTCAGTTTTTTCCAAAGACTTTGTTCAAAATAAGACATCACTAATTGTGTATATGCATAGGGAAGAAAATGACATGCATTGGAAAATAACTTACATCCAGGGCTAAATAAATTAGTCGTCTTCAAGTTCCTTATTTCAAATACTCTTTATGAATTTCATGATTGTGGTATTGTATTAACTTATGTGTAACTATATACAGAAAACGACTAAGACATTTCAAATTTAGTTGGAACAAACTAACCTCTTTCTTGTATCAAAGTTCTTTTAACTCATGATCCAGGAAAATGAGACCATCTGCACAGTCTTCCCTTGGGCACTAGTTTACATGTGTAAATTTAGATCTAGATTTTAAATTTACTGTGACGAATCTTTACATTTTTTCATGCAGGCTCATTAATTATCAGAAGACTTGAAATCACTTAGGATCAAGGACCCCCACTTCAGCTGTAAACCATACATATGAGCTAAGGTATTGACGAAAACTCTAACAGTAATTTCCACTGCTGGATGCAGAGCTGGGGGCTCAGCAAGGGATGTTACATAATCAAAATTTAACAGCACCCACTGAAATAAATTCAGAAAAAACCCTGCTTGGTGTTTTCCATTAGCAGGCCTGATAGAAAACATTTTATGAAAGAGGTGAGAATTCTTGTTCCCATTGCTCAGATGCTAATAGCAACATGGTGATGTGCTGCCATCAGCAGTAGGAACTCAGCCAGGCTATTAAATGTTGTAGCTGGCAGGATTACTTACATTTTGCAGCTGGACTTGGCTTTGTGCCATACACTCTGACTTTGCCATCATGCTGGAAGCATTTAGGCTGTAGGTTTTCCTATTCTGTGTTTCTTTCAGCTGTTCATGAATTTGTTTTGTTTGTTTCCTGCAGAGAGAAATAAAATTCATGTAAGAAAGAGCTAGTTTGATCTTCTACTACAGCCACGATATTTTTACAGCCATGGTTCCCTTTGTTCAAAACTTCACTCTATTAGATTAAACAAGCTGAGCTATTTCACTAGTGTCTAATATTTCAATGCTTTCAATGCAGTGGTCATTTTCTGGCAAGACTTAAGAAAGGAAAAAAGAGCTCTTCTGTTTAAAATATCTTCTATTCTCAGATTACTATAATAGCATGCTAATTGTTTCACTGCAGAATTTTGTAAGATCATCTATTAAATATTTAACAATAGCTTGCAAGTAGGCCTGAATATTAAAAAAGCATTTTGCTCTGATTAAGAACAAAGAATTTGGCAAATAGAGCAGGCATTAGACCCTGTTGGCTATAAAAAGTGTTTAAGAATCAAAGATTTCTGCTAGCTAATTAGACCTGACCTATAACCCAGTATCTTGTATAGACCAGCTTTTGCTTACAAATTTAAACCTTGAAAAAAACATGAGTGTGGTATCTGCAGCTGTGTTTTTGACATATTATACTATGATCCACAATGTCAGACCTAGGAATACCACCAGATGAATCACATGCAATATTCAGGAGATAACTACACTATCAATAATGGCTTTCTGTTTCTGCCACACTATATTGACAAACTGAGTTTTAAAGTTCTGTCCATGATTGAGCATATGAGGCAGCAAACTTTCTTTTAAATATTTCTTTTATCTTCTGCAAACAGGTACCTCAGCTGGGCAAAAATTGTTAGCAAAACACATTTAAGGTGTTCTATCCATCTCCGTTCTTTTGATAACCTACACTGTCTGAGACTATTAGTTTTAAATGATCAATAGAAGTAACTCCACAATACTATTTACTATTTCCTTCTTTCCTTCCTTCCTTCCTGCCTTCTCCAAGCAAGATGCATCTCTAGCAGTCAACCCACACAGGCCCTGGAAACAGCCCAGCAAGGTCAAGGACTTGCTGCCGCAGCAGCAGCACTTTGTTATGCCACCAGCAGCTTTTACACAGCGATTGGTGCGGAGCGATATTTCAGAGGAAGTGATTTCAGGGCAGTGTTGATAAGACATAAAGGAAATGCAGTATTTCTACACAGAAATCTGAAATTTTAGCAAAGAAGCTTCAGAAACATTCTGAAAAATTTCTTGTGATTTTGCTGCTGAAAGCCTTGTGACATTGTCAATTTTGATAGCATCTTACTTGACTCAGGCCAATGAATTTGACACTGAATGAAGCATAAATGTAATTTTAGCTTCTTTCAGTGTAGCTCAGGAAAGTGAGAAAGGACAAGTTACCTCACTATGAAAGCAAGCAGTGAGAAGTATCATAGTTGACATATTCAATAATTTTAGACATATTAAAATAATTATATAGGATTTCTTCTGCCTTTGAGTTCCGTAGTTCAGTATGGGAGGCGCTCATTTTCTCACTACTCTATAAACTTCAGTATTGCATAATTTAAGCATTAGCTTAAATTCAACAAGCTGTAAGCACCTGCTCAGAAGTAGGTACTTGTTAAAGCACATTTCCTGAATACAGGTCATAAACTATAATAAATTTTGGACTCTGTAAGTATCTCTTACGCTTTCTATTTACATCCTATTTTGAAACAGCATGGCAAATGAAAAAGAATGAACTTACAAATATCGAATCATAGAATCACAGAACCATAGAAGAGTTAGGGTTGGAAAGGACCTTA